TCACACGCCTTAACTTTAAAGCGATATTATTTAAAAGTAAATAAATATTGGCGTTTAAGCTTTGTACACAGAGTTCCTTATGCACTTACACTGCCGGAAAAAAGTATTGGCACAGCAATATTTGCTCAATATATGCACCAATTTCTATTCTAATATTTTTCCACTAATTTTTTATAAAAATATGATTCATTATATAACAAGAAACACAAAAATATAATTTCTAAACTTTATGCAAATTGAAAATTTTCAACTTTTTAATCAGATTTATTGGAATTTTCTTGAGTATTTTTTTGTCGAAGGTGTTTTGCATTTTTTCCATATAAACTATTTTCGATTTTTTTTTTTTTGTATGGAAGAAAAAAGTTGCCCGAAAAAAATTGCTAAAAGTCAACGGTAATTTGTAGCTACATAGAGCAATAAAATTTATTGGGCTACAAATCTGCATACTCAAAAAATTCTAAAAAATCTGATTAAAAAAATGAAAATTTGCATGAAAATTTTCTGAATTTTCACGAGTTTTGCACAAAGTTTAGAAATTACATTTTTATGTTTTTTTGTTGTAGAAATAACCATATGTCCATCCGTTTTTCTACATAATTCTGATACATTTTTGTATCCAAATCACAGATTTCTCACGCTAAATGGATTAGCCTCATAGCATCAATCTTTAACAAGATCTTACAAAGAGCGAATACTGTCAAGCGTTAGCTCAGACTGTCAAATGGTGAAATGTCAAAACTAAATTTGAAAAGAAATGACGGGGAAATGTTCTAAAATACATTATCTTCTCCAATACAGAGAAAGAAATATTTGAAAAAAAAACAGTAAATACATAAGTAAGAAAAGAAAATCCAACGTTTTCCACTTCCATTTATCTTTTCAAACTGATCTATGACCTCGTATGACAAAAAGCGTATATTTATTTAGATATAAATATCAACCACAAAAAGACAGCTGGACAAGCTGAAAACATATTTTTACACTCTTGTTTATGTGAACGATTTTTTTTTTGTAGATCGTTTATTACAATTTTTTCTTCCGTGGGAGTTTTACTTGTTTTTTTTTTTTAAGATTTATTTATTGCCATTGCATACAGAAACAACTCAAAAATTTTCCGTCAACATTTTCTGCCAGAGTGCCGTTCTTCACACAAACGCTGCACTTGTCAATATTAGTTTAATTTTTTTTTTTTTTAAGGGCTGTTTGAAAATGGCGTGCATTAAAATTTTCCGAAGATTCATAGTGTCTACATAGTGTATTTACATATACAATTTTAAACAGTTTTATCCAAATATATACTATTTGTACGCTCATGTTCATGTTTGTAAGGAAGTATTGCGCCACCAGCGAGACGGCCAGGCTCAACTGTTCAGGGGGTAGACAGAAGCGCGGGCGATCAGTATCATTTGCTATGATGGCAAAGGGGCGCACAAACGTCAATCAAATGCTCGATGACTCTAAAGTCAAACTAAAATATTACTTTCTATATTATTTTTGTTTTAGCAAAAATAACTTCATATCCATTACTCTTACATAATATGTTGATATTTTACGAGAGCTATGCCACATACGTACAACTGTATGTATGGACATATATATATGTATGTAGGTATACATTAGGGTGTATCGCTGTCTATACAAATATCGGTATTGTTTTCCCATCGGAATTATACAATTTATTGTATCTTAAGACTCCCGCCGAAAATCTCACAATTTTGATACTGTTGGCAAAGTGTTTAAACATTTTTATGCAGACCTCTAAAGCTTAAACACTTCTATCATCTGAAGTTATTTTTTGGAAAAAATATTTTTAAAAATTATTTTTAAATAGGTCTCGCTCACGTAAATCTTCATATTTTTCTGAGATATTTTATATTTTGGGAGCGTCTTAAAATATAATAAATTTTGTCATTCCGGTGGCAAACCCGCAACTTTTTTTTGTGAGGCACCCTACTGAACATATGCGCGCAGCAGAGAAGGGTGTAAGATGCTGAATTCACAAATAAACATTGATGTTCTCGCGTTGTACAACACATGCTTCACACTTAGATATGTACTTCCATATGAATATGTACATACATACATGTATGTATGATGAATCCGTGCATTGCCGCGCAGCTAAAGTCATCTTTCGTCTCACCAACTGGTTGATGGATGTATTTCAATCATATTTCTACAAGGAAGTGTTGCATTATGATGTCTTATAAACAGTAGCGCTACAGAAAGTTCTACATATAATTATTTTAAGTTAACAAAAAAATAACAAAAAAATATGCTGGCTATGTTGCTACTGCACTTAGATCAATACTTGTCGAAGAGATCGCGCTTTTGGAAGCTGAAGCAGTAATATTTAGTTTGGTGTTTTTTTTTTTGTTTGCTTTTGCTGTGTTGAATGCCATTGACGATGTCGTTGTCGTCATCATTATGGCGGCAACAGCAACAGAGGCATTCACTGTTTAAGCGCGCTGAGCCGCGAACCCCTGCGCAAAAGTACATATGTATGTATGTATGTATGTTGCAAGCGCCCTTGCTTCCGCCGCGTATATAATATGTACTAAGATACATAGTATACTTAAAAACGCGCGCATCTACATATGTATGTATGCACTTACACACTTGCATATACAAAGGTATATGTATTTATTGTCGTATTTACCCACATTGCATTTAATAACGAATCTGCGCGCACCACTGTGCGCTGATTCTGGAATCGAGCGCTTGAGCCGCGCGTCCATAAGTTTTTGTTAATTTAAAGCGGCTGCTGTGCGACACAACCGCGCGCACTAGTTTTTCGAATTTTTTCGTACATTTACAAATGTACATATGTATCGAATCTGTGTATATATGTATATATACATATGTATATGTATGCTAGTATCTATGTGCGCGCATTATGAATGCTGAATATTTTCACTTGTTTTTATTAGATTTAATTTAATTCCATTTCATTACGCTGCGCGCGCGCGCCCTCTTCTGATATAGTTAGTAAAAGTTACAGGCGGGTCAGGCGCTGACCGCGCGGTCGCCGGCCACTCAAACTCATTGAACGCATTTAAACAGAATTACCCCAAGCCGAAATTTTTGTAAGTATACCTACCATATTATAGTGTTTTATGAGTATTTAAGCTGCTGCCCAAATTCATGCAAAATCTCCCCCTACATTGATGAAAACAAAATTTCACTACTTTTTTTTTTTTAACAGCGATCTGGAACAATGACAGCGGCGCGGCCATCGTCATCACAACGCATCGCATCGCGCAGCGCGTAATTGGCAGCCATGATGTTGGCGCGGCCTGGATGCTGTGTTGTATGGAGATGGATGAATGACTCGACTCCGACGGCTGGTTGACTGACTGATTCTACATATGACTCTGCTTGACAGCTGGCCTGTGCGGCTGTGCGCTGATGAAGTGTACCTACTATGTGGAAATGCCATCATAAATATCTACCATACGAAGGTAGGAAGGAGGCTATACGTAGTACATACATATGTACGTAGGCATGCGGGTGTGCCTGTATATATGTATGTGCGTATATGCACATACATATGTATTTGCAAAGCAGCAGATCAGTCAACCACGCCGGCTTCCGAAACAATTTTAAATCAGAGCGAAAATAAATCACTTTAATCACACAAACTGCAGATTGGGTAAAACAAACAATTTTCTTTCTATGCGTGTTTGTTTGTTCGTTTGTCGCAAGCAAAAATAATGATCAACGTTATAATAAAAAAAAAAACTTTGTCATTCAAAGAGCGGACGAACTGCCGATGTTTGCATATGCGGTGGTAATATTTTTTTCGGTTACTCGCCCCGGCAAATTTTTTTAAAGAAAACATTTTCAAAGCAGTGTGTATACTAATGCTGTTAATGGATATGAAAATGTTTTTTACTCTTAAATATTTTGAAGTAATCAATTGTCCTAAAAAATTTTCTAAATTTGGTGAAGAATTTTGTATGTGTCTCTAAAAATCTTACACCCAGATTCATAAAAAATAAAGAAGACTGTAATCGCTTCATAAATCGAAATTTTGTATGAAAATGTTACTTTACTCTTACTTTTTAAAAATATAAATAAAATAAATCTATACTCTACTCTTTAAAAATATTTTATTTTTTATGAATAAGGGCATTAAATTTTCTGTTAATAATAAAAATGTGTTTTCGTTTTCAAATATTTTTGTAGAGCAGTAACAAAAGATTTGTATCTGATTTATTTAGTTTAATGTTTTTCTTTTTTTAATTATTTTTTTCTTAAAAAAAATTTTTGTTTAAATTGTTGCTGCTACAAATATATGGATGTTTAATGGTTCAATTTTACATTTTTATTGTTCAGAAAAACGTATTCATGACTTTTTGATTTTTTTTTTCATTAATTTTTGCGCAAGTATTTTTTTTAGTAATTTCTAATCTATCATATCTTTTACATAGACATTTTGTTTTGTTGGGGCAACGGTGCTTCATTAAAAAAAGGTTTTAAATACATACATACATACATACCCATTTATCGAATACATATTAAATATGTATTTAAGTTCCCACTTTATTCACACTTTTTTATATCTTTTGCATCAGTGAAATATGAAAAAAAAATTTGTAAAGGTTCCCATAGTTCCCATAAACACATGAATGCATTTCATTTTACACTTTCTAGACTTTTTTGTGGTTTTTCCTAGTTAGTTTGGTGCAATCCAATAATAAAATTTTCTGCACTCAAACATCTAATTCAAAATTATATTTAGTTATACATACATATAAAAATGTATTATTAATACCAAACACATTTTGAATGCACTATTTTTGCATATTCTCCATAACTCCAGTTTCATGTCAAAAATGTTGCCAGAAATCCTTCAAAATTGTTTCACTCTCACACACATACACATCACACAAATTAATGGTCGCCAAATCGTTTTTTTTTTCTCTCGAAAACACAACGAAATCGTTTTATTTGAATTTCTTAATATAATTTTTATTTTCCATAATTAACCTTCAACTTACGTTATTAAGAACATTTGTTTGGAAAAACTTAAAAAATAGACGTTTTCAAGACATTTGTAAGTTTTAAGTTATTAAACTTTTTGTTCGCTTAACTACACTACTCTACATTAACTTAGAGGAAAAACTTAAAAAAAAAGTTTCTTTCTATTTTCCAATTTTTTTTTTTTTATATTTTGCCGCCGCCGCCGCGTTAGTAACTAGCGCGCTTAGTTCGAGCCGGATGCGTTTTTCGTCGAGTTTACGTTGAGACTGAAGCGTTGCGCGTCGTGCAATCAGTGTTTAAAGTCAAACGAATTGGTGCGAAGATCAACAGCGTTGACTCGCTATACGCTGATCCTCGTATCGAGGCGCAATAAGGCAACTACATACAAAGCCAGTTGTGGCACATTAAAAGAGAGAGAGTTGTACAGTAGAGCATGGATGGTTGGAATCTAGCTATTGAGGAACGACGCGATTGTCGAGGTTTTCCGTCAATTTAGTGTGGCTGCAGATAATTATTGTCCGCGCTGAGTTAATTCTTTTGACTGTGAAAATAACAACAAACGTCTCGGTCTGAATGAGTTTAAATAGCAGCCGGGCCATCATATATTACTACATACTTATGCCTGGCTTCACAAACTGAATTAAGTCATAAAATTGTCGGTTTGGGGGAGACCAAAAAGCTTCTCCGATGGACTTTTTCCTGTGCGAATTTGCACCATTTGCTCATCGCGAGTGCTGACAGGTCTTTCTGTACTTCGTTCTTCCATTGTGTTTGTGGGCGCCCTTACTTGCGTTGTCCACCCAAGGGCGCGGAATCAAAGGATCTTTTCTCCGGAGCGTCGTCATCCATGCGTGCAACATGTCCAAGCCAGCGCAATCAACGTACTTTTATGCACTTAACCGCATCTATTTCGTTAAAAAGCTCATTCAATTCATCATTCCATCTTCTCCGATACCCGGTCGTCCACGCGAAAAGGTCCGTAGATCTTATGAAGAATAGTTCTTTAGAGCGCACCAAAAGCCTGTGAAATTCTGTGGTTTCTTTGTGAAAAATTGGGATGATTTCCATTGGACTATTTTGTAGTTTCTGCAGAAACTGGAACCAATTCTGAGAAGCAATGTGCAGACTATATGGTGGGAACATCAAAACTTCCAAGCCTAGCTCTAGCTAGCCTAGTTGGGCTGAGTTATCGAACTTGTGTAAGGTCTGACGTTGTTATGATGAAAAACAATTCCTTTTCTCTAAATTAATAATGAGAAACAGTTTGTTTTTAATCAATTGTTTTAATTTGATTAGACATATACATATGTACATAGATAGTAGAAATCTAAATCAATCGTTAGGCCTTGCGGTAGCTCTTCATATTGGACAATTACCTTCAACAGAGCCAATCTTTATTTTACCACCGTTTGGCTGTCTTTCTACTTCCTGGACCATGACCGTTTTCGCACGCTATTGTCGCAAGAAAACTGTTATTCACCTCCAATCATTCGCTTCAAAAATGGTCCGATAAAAATTTCAAAATTTTAATAGCTAACTTGTACATATAAGGTAGCCAAACGCTTAGTTTATTTTTGTATTCAGCCTTCTTCAAAATGTTTAAAACTCTTTAGAGATGGCTCTTTTGTTGCCTAGCGTTGACCGCTTACATATTTCTCAACGATTGGAGGTATTTCGACGACTTCCGCAGTGATTGGTCAACAATACCGTGGCACATCTTTAATATCGAAATTACCAAACTGAAAGCGAGCTAACCATTCATTGGTGACTCTTTCTGACACGGTATTTTCCCAATAAAGAGCACAGATTTTTTTTTAGCTGCCTACGTATTGTTTTTCTTTTTCTTGAAGTAAATTTTCACATGTATAGCCAATTTTCTATTAATTTTTACCACAGTATACTGTGATTTTAACTAAATTTCAAACTATTAAATACATATATGTATGTTAAATGGTTTCTAATTATCTGAGTTCCAATTACCCACGCTTTACTGTATGCTATAGTGTATGTACTCCCGTGTGCATATAAGTTGATTAAGAAATTTCGAGCTGTTGGCAGTGCCACTCTCCATATTAGCCGCTCACTAAAATATTGCTTTGCCGGTCGACTGTTCCTCCTCAAGTACCTTGTGTGCTTCGCAATTCGAATCTTGCTATGATTAGTTATTATAAAACTCTCTTATAAATATGTAATGAGTAGTGAAGAGAATCTAAACATTTAAGAGATCAAAGTTCTAGTGTTGGAAAATGCGGGAAATAATAAATATAAACTTTACCTAGAGCGCGAAGAAAATAATAAAAGTCGTTATTGTAATTTGATTTAAACAAATAAGCCGCTGGTCTATTGGAAAGTGGTACATGGACCCCCCAGTCCATCCTTTTTATACGAAAATTCTTTGTACTTACCATGTGATTTCTTCTAATTTGCCGCACAGAATGCAAAATCTTTGGGTGAAATATGTACGACTGAGGAAATGTAGCACGCGCTCAGGCGCATAGTAAAATAGTACAGATATTTGTATTTTCGTGAACACTTCCTGTCAATTTGTGTGCGCCTGGAAGCATTTGACTCAATAAAATGATTTGAACTTAGCTAGTTTCACCGGATGTAAAATATTCTGGCACCAAAAATATAGGGTACGTTCAGGGACAACTTGTAATAAAGTAAACATTTAGTTCCGCTGCACTTCTAAACTAAAATGATTTGTTGAGAACCGACCACGTGTGAAATTCGCCGACGCTTGGGGCTACGTTGAGAAAAAATCAAGGCGTATTTAACAGGT